AGCACCAAATTCAAACTGAGGTACGTGCCCTTGGCAGGAACCAAACCTGGGTCTCTCTCTCTGGACCACAGGCCGACGCTCCAACCGCTGAGCCAAACCGGCCAGGGCAGCAGTGATGTTGTCTTTTATCCAGACAACATCACTGCTGCTTCACAACGCCCAACACGGGAGCACATCCCACTTCACAAAGGAAACCAGGGAAAACAACTCAGGACAAGACTGCCTGTAAAATCGGCCACTATCCAAGAAGACACCACAAAGACCTACTTTCCAAGATGTGACATAAAACTATAAAAGAGTCTACTTTGTTTTAATTTTAGAATGAAACCTATATAGAAACCCTTTTATTTGGTGTGATTAGATCCAACAGTGGATCGGTCAGTTAATTTTTTTAATAGGGTAAAACATTTACACATATACACATTATGTATGTGCATGTTTGTACATTTCTCACATTTCCTTTTCACTTAAATGTGGACATCCATTCGCCATCTTTAATGGTGTAGTGGCAAGTACACAAGGCACTCCACAGGTTTCCTGGAAACAGTTCTTAAATATGAAAATGAGGGCCCACCTTTCAAAGATAACTATCTTTACTCATAGTCAAGATGTGCTATAATGTTGCTTTGCTCCATCACTTGCCATTAGCCCTCTAAGACCAGGTCATTATGATGCCAGTACTTTTAGTAATTTAGTCAAAAGTTCAGTTAACCACCCAAGTCTTTGATTTCTATCTGACAATTATCTTAGTGACCAAATGTTTAACCACATTGACTAGCATTACTAATATAAACTCTTAAAAGAATCCCATTCACACGCTGTATATGCAGAACACGTTGCTCAGGTAAACCCACCTACATAAGAAATCATTTTGTTCTTTATAACTTGATACTTCTCTTCCCAATTCAAAATGATCCTCTATCCCCAAAGAGAAGGTAAAAGATCACTGAAGTTGACTAGAGTCAGAAGTCTACAGTTGCTAACTTAGGGAACAGATGAAAAACTACCATTTGGTTTCAGTATTTTCTTTATTAACTCTTACCTACAAAACTCAGAATCCACATTCTGGTCAATCATTTGCAATCTCTTGACATTCGTACTACTTAGGTTACAGTCAACCAGTCAACAAGTATTTATTGCTCTGCCAAAGTGGTGAAATAAGCAGAGCAATAATAATAAAATCCTTTTAGGGTTATATATTCCAGAAATAAAACTTTTAAAAGAATCATTACCTGTATAAAGACAGAAACAAAGAATATTTTTAAAAATGTTACCTGATAGTGCTAGCAAATGTCTTTTTCCCCTCACTTGAGACACATTGAAAGAATGTCTATAAGACTTATTTAATTAGGGAAAGCGATTCAACTAGTATGCACACAAGACAATTTTATAATTGCCATTTGACTGTCAAAGATTTTCATATTAACATTAATAAATGGAATTATCAGCTAATAAATGCCTATTGTAGTTTCCCACATTTTTCAGTTGGGATTATAATTAAGTTAATTTATATGTGTTAACCATGTTTAACATGATAAACCCAGATATTGGAAAATTTGAAAAGTCATTAACAAGTTATATTTTAAACTAATATCATGAGTGTACTACAAATCTCAATCCTGACAACACACACACACACACACACACATTTTCCCTTAGGAAAAGTAACACATTAAATTAAAAAGAAAACACTGCAGGGGATTTTTAGGGCAATGAAATTATTCTGTTTGACACTGGAATGTTGGAAACATGTCAATATATAATTTTCAAAAGCCCCAAGATGTAAAATGCTAAAAGAAAACCCCAATGTACATTGAGACTTTAATCAATAACAATGTATTCAGCTCTGGCTCATCAATTGTAACAAAACGTATGACACCAGTGCAAGATGTTAATAATAAGGATGACTGGGGGTAGTGGGAGGCATGAGGGGGTAAATGTGTATCTGAGCTTTCCACTCATTTTACAGTAAACCTAGAACTGATCAAGAAAAATAAAACCTATTAAAAACAAAAAGAAAGAATTCAAACAAACATCATGATCATTTTGCCTTTGTACTGGTTAAACTCAATTGTCAAAATTAATTAAGTATCCCCTTTGTCATCAGCTACAAATTTAAATCATTTTAGAAATTATCGCACTATTGATAAGTTTTGATGCAATGAATCCTGTCAAGCACAGACTCCATCATCTGAATTTCATCCTCTTCATGTCTGCTCCTGTATCTTTGTTCCAGTTTCTAGCTTGAAAATGATAGTGAACACAGGACAAAGAGTGTGCACAGATGGTCATTCAAATTACAAATCCAATAATTCCTACTTAGCAATTAAGAGAGAAGGAGCATGATGTAAATTGAGCTCTGACCTAGAAGCTGTCACCATTATAATACATCTATAGGGATCTAGAAGCTTGGTTTCAGAGGTGTTTGTAAAACTTGAAAAGCTTTTAAAATATAGGGTAGAGAATGATGATGACTCAGTGATTAACATCTATGCAATTCCTCCTCAGCATTCAAGGAAAAAATGTTTCAACTGAGATATTCATGTTGGGTGTTATTTTGTCATTCCCAAGCCTGAGTTTTTCACTAGGGTTCCATTTAGAGTCTGAATGGCCTTAACCTAAGGCCCAAGGCACTTGTGTCCAGACCATGAAGTATATAAATCTTTTAGCCTGAGCTTGCCAAAACTCAACCAAGTCTACACAAGAGAAACTAGCAATGCAAAGAATGCTTGAAATAAAATATCAATCCACCAAGAAATATCTGTGGCACACCTACTAGGCATCAAACACAGAAATAATTTTCATACTAAAAAGCATTTTAGAAGTATTGAACACTGGTGTTACAGGTGTATCAATAATTCATAGTAAAATACAATATTGACCTCAGAAAATGTTTCATGAACATAAAATTGTTTCCACTAGGAAATATGTTCAAAATATGCATTAAATTGTAATACCCATTTTAACAGTGAAGGAAACCACGAATTCAGGAAAAGAAATTAGAGCAGAATATAAATTCAATCTATCCATGACAAAACTGAAATTTGCTACCTTCCATAGTCTTACAGCAGTTAACCTATCACTCTGATTTCTCAAAGTCAAAGCCAGGACTAAGCAGAACTTTAAAGGTGACTCAGAACAAATGAAAACCAAAGCAGTAATGATTACCTCAGTTGTCCAGATTATGTCTCTCATTGAGTTCACTATTTTGTGTCTTTAAGTTTTTCTCCAGAACTACGAACTTCATTTAAAATAACATCTTTACATATTTTCAACTACCTCTTTGTATTCCCTTTCCAGCCCCCAAGTTAATTTCAGTTCTACTCAGGCTCACCTTTAATTTGAAAAGCTACTGTATTTCAAAGTTGAAGAACAAAAAGAAGTGTTATTTCAAAGGAAATTCCCTTTGTCAAGTGGCATAAATTAAACTCTTCAAGAATGAACATTGGAGCGGTTCCAAGGATTGATAGAATTGGTCTCTATTATTAGTAGGACTCAAATAACTATACCATGAGCACTTATCAGATCCCTGCTTGGGTTCACTTAAGTCCTCCTGAACTGACAACTAGTGGGCCTCACAAGGTTGACTTGTCACTGACAGACCCAGCTTAGCCTCCCCTGGTTTGGATTCCTAGGACGGATTCAGGAACATCATGCAAAAATATTTAAATAACTTAACTATTCAAGAAGCTAAATTCAAATGATGACAAGGTAATATGAATAGAAATAAAGAAACACTCAAAAAGTTGAAATCCTTCTGTAAAATAAAGTTGGCTATCATAGGATCTGTCTGGGTCAGCAGCTCTCACAAACTTTTCGTGCGTAGGATCATCAAGATTGTGTGTTAAACTCCACTGGCAACAGTTCTTGGACAATGGACTTGTTGGGGCTTAGGAAAACTGCACAAGTAACAAACACCTTCATACTACCATGCAAGGTATGAGCATGACCTTTGTGTTACGTCTGTCTTTGTCTCACCCTTTTGCCTCACCTCTACCTGTGTATCACCTGCCTCCCCATCTCTGGATACAACTCTGTTTCCCCATTGTTACAGAAAAATAAATGAAAACCATCTTTGCTGCCATCAGTAGCTATGTACAGGAGGATTTTTTTCTCTTTCGTGGCATGTCATTCTTTTCAGCCTAAAGAAAAATTTTGAAGGGCATTAAGGTCACACTAATCAAACATAAGTATTTTTTGCTTCTACTTGGAAAATAATATAAATGATTTATATTTGTTGCCCATTCCTTCACTTTAGCCTTCATTTCTAAAAATATCAAGTTGTCAAATATAGCTTTTGGCTAAATTTTTTTACAAAAGGAATGAATGATAAGGTAGAAATGCTTAACTCTCCTGACAGTCATACCTCTCCCTGTATATTGACGTTGTTTCCTGGGTTTGTAAACTAGTGATTTTTTCATCTGATCTACGTATACAGTTCACCTGAACCATCCAACTATCTCAATTCATCACCTTCCTTTGCAAGCTGAGAGCTGGTCATTGTGTGTTCAGAAGAACCCAGCAGTTAATACGCCTTTTCTACAAATCAAAAGACTGTGACTGTCTATCAAGACTTACTGGAGTCCAATCCAACAATGTATTATAGTTGGTCATTTTTTTCACATTTAAGAGACAAATTAGATTCAGTATTTTAAAACTACGTTACTTTTGTTAAAATTGCTTTATACTGCACTGTAAGCAGGTAACAATTAGAATTGTTTAGCAAGACATTTCTATCAACATTTCTATGTGGGGAAATAACCATGTGTTTCATAAATAGCTTAATTCAAAGCAAGAGCTCAGTGCTGAAATAAGTTTTAAGTAGGAGTAAACCCCAGCATTTAAAAGATTGAACAGTGTTACCCATCAAGACTCATAATTTCAAACAAAGACAACAAATCTTGTATTGAACATGACAAAACAAAAACAAACAAACAAACAAACAAAACAAAAAAAAGAAGAAAACAAAAACTGTCAAAATGTTAGGCTTATGCTCTTACCAGAAACGGACTCCAGCAAATGCAGGAGACACACATGATAGCCAGGAGCTGGATGATCATTTCGAGATGATGAGACCTGCCTTGTCTGTGCTGATGACTTTTAAATTTCACTCTTAAAAGTGTAACTCCTGTGATGGCATTGCACAAGAATGAAACACTGAGGGCTAAGAGCCCCAGCAAAGAGAAAAGGAGAAGATAAAATCTATCTTCCCAGTCTTGGATATGATCTGTTTTGTAGAAACACCAGGTCCTTGATGCTTGAATTGTGTAGTCTCGGTGCCCAAGGATGGGTAGCAAAGCTATGAAAACAGCAAACAAGCACACCCCGCCCAGCATCACTTTCACATGCTTGGATGTAATTTTTATAGAATGAAATATTGGTTTGGTGACTCCAATACATCGCTCAATGGCCATCACACTGCCTAGAAAAAGTGGGCACAGACCAGAAAATACCATGGAGATACCAAAAATACTGCAAAGAATGTTTGACTGGTCAAAGCGGATCCAGTCTTTATCAGAAGCATATACAAATACTGCTATTGTTCCATTGATGAGGTGGCCAAAGAAGTCTGTGATCACCAGGCCACTAGCCAAGAGCAGAAACGACGCCTTGGACTTCTGTCGAAATCTCTGGTATGCCTTCATGAGTATAGCAATGGCAAGGCTGTTTGATACGATTCCCACCGTCATGAAGATTATAGAAAAAAAGACTGAAAGCCGATTTTCTGTCTGGCAAGTTGTATTTGAAAGGAGCTCTGCTGTAGGAGACACTGGCTGTTTGGAATTGTTCATGGACATTGTTGTGGAGATAAAAGAGGGCTGCTCAAGTCATCTTCCTCCCAGAACAGTGCAGGCTTGTAGTCCAGGCATCTGTAACATAAAGACAGAGGAATCATGAGCACCGCACAACTGCTCATGCGACATTTCAGACGGAAGGACCCCAGTGCCTTGTGGCAGGAATCAGATTTATCTGACCTATCATAATCGAGGTTGCATCATCCTGAAAGCAGCACACATCTGCCTGTGGGTCCACATTTCATTTTTAAGGTAAAGGAGCTGCCCAAATGGAACTCCTTGGATTAACCTCTTCACAGGTTTACAAAATGGCTAACAAGCTTACATTTAAACTCAGTAAAGTTTTTAAAAGCATAAGAGCCTATTTAAAACACTACGTGACCTTTTAAAGTTTCTACTTTTTTGTCGGATGAGCTTTGTCCCCAAACTATAGAATATTCCTTAGATGAACTACCTGTTTGTCAGGTAGACAAAACAATTTTCTCCGAACCTTGGGAGGAGGCAGCAAGGTCATAGTGTTAAACGGGGCTCTCCTGAATAAGTCCTGAAACTATTTGATTGAGATCAAAAAACAGCACACCACACGCATCAGTGACCCGTGGAGAGCAGACCAGTGAGTCTCTAGGAAGGTTTTCTGGTCCAGCTACAACCTGTGCAGAAATCCTAGGAAAAGAGGCAAGTGGTCCTCTCTGTGAGCACATCTGCCCAGATGGTGTGGATTAAGCTACTGCTTGAGGGTAGTAACATCCAAAATGAATAATTTACTGTGGCTCTTTCCCTAGTGAGTTGAGGCCTGAGTCACAGACCCTTGGTACCCAAGACCACAGCCACCCCGCCCCGAGGTAATCTTACTGGCGTTTCCTGAGTAGCTTTCCCGGAGGCTGGGAATTATGAAGCCAGCCTTTTGGGGCCCGCCCCAGTGGGTCTGCCCGGGCTACCCAAGGACAGCTGCCTCCTTCAAATTTTACCGCCGACTTTCTCCCATTACTACTCCTCCCACCCCACCCCCGCCGTCCCCATAAATATGCTTGCAACATCCTTCCCAAACCGCATAACTTACTGAAACTTTCTGCAATGGCTCTAATGCCGCGGGGCCGGTTTTCCTCCCAACCCGGGGGGCGCCCAAGGCCTGCGCTGGCCGGGGTGCCGAACTCGAAGGGTCGTGGGCAGGGAACCACGCACCGAGCGTGAAGGGGATCTCTTTCTTGCCCGTTTCCCTCCTCCGAGACCTTGTCCACCTGGTCCCCACACCACAGCTGAGAATTAGGACCTATCAGCCCGAGTGCCCTTCTCTCTACCGGTCTCCCCAAGCTTGTGGCATCTGGTCCAAACTTGTTGCCACACTCAGGCTAAGGTGCCTTCCAGGGTGGCGGGTTGCAGCTGCCTCCGGTCGTCCGGGGGTCAGGTGGCTAAACCTCAGTGGCGTGAAGCATACGGAGGCCAACGCTTGGGGGTCTAGCGGCTGGAGGGGTGGTTACCTGGGCATCCCCAGCTGCCGGCAGGACTCACGGCGGAGCCGAAGATCGCGCCGCTCCGTGCGCCATGGCGCGCCCGCCCTCTCTCCGCTCCGCCGCCCCGGGCTCCCCGGGCTCCCCGGGCTCCGCGCCGCGCTCCCGCTCCTGCTCCCGGCTGGGTCTCGGCTGAGTCTCGCTGCGCGTCCCGCGGTGCGCTCCTCCTGCGTGGAACCTGGCGAGCTCGTCTCCTCGGATCCCTCAGCACCTAGCGGCACTCGCAGTCTGCCCGGGGTGGAGGGCAGGGGTGACCTCCGCCCCTTTCTCTTCTCTCCTCCCCGCCCCCTTTTCCGTGGGCCCAGAGCCCGACCCGGAGAGACCAGGGCGTCGCACTCGGATGCTACGGCTCCCCCATCAGCATCAGAGCGGCCCTCTCAGCAGCCTGATGACCACTTGGAAAAAAGTTTGGTTTTAAACTCATTTTCGAGCTAAAGGCGCCATCCCTAGGGCTGCAAAATAGGAATCGGGAGAGCTGAGGACAGCCTACAGACAGCTGTCGTGACAGCGTGTTGGACAGTCAGATTGTAGTTGGCAGACTGAAATCATCCCAAATCCAGCGCGAAAAAGATAGACCAGGTAGAAAGAGGGAGATGGTGTATTTGAGGAAGGGCTGTGTGGCCACTAGCCCCAGGGAGTTAAAAACGGGGGTTCAAGCCACGTGTTGTGAATGGAAACAGTCACTGCTTAGATTTCACTGTCACTTAGAGGACTGTTTCATCTTTCTAAGTAATGTGAGAAAAGGATGTGAAGTATTCTTGAAGGACACCTGCAATAAGAGATTAGTAACATTTTAATGGTTTTAAAATTTTTCTAGTGATATGTTCGTCCAGAGATCCGTCCATCTCTCCAAAGAGATGTGAACCTAGCAAAATTTGTGGAGATCTTTTTATAATCAAGGGGAAAAAAAAATCTACTCCTTCATTAGAAATTGTGATTTGAGCCATTCTACGTCTGTTATTAGAGTTCTGTGCACTATGCTTTTGCTAATATTGTTTTCATTCATACCTATGAACTAGGCCTCATTTTCCAGCTAAACATTTATGGAAATCTATTACTGACCTTTGCTCTTCTTATTTTAGTAAAATATTCCCACAATCTATGGGAGAAACCAATGCTACATGGAAATAAATCCTCTTTTCTCCATTCTAAAATCAGAAGGGCCCTCTAAATTTCTGGAATTTGAAAAGGATCATAAAATGCTCAAGCAAGATAAAATAAATTAGTCATTAACTGTAGAAAAGAACAATTGCACAGTTTTCCCCTGTGGTAGATATTGAGATTTTTTTTAAATAATATAATTATAACTTGTAAAACAAACTGTTACTTGGGTATGGTCAGGGAATTAGACAATTTGTTTAAACAAATTTCTGGTTAGTAGAGAAATATTATATCTGGATGGCTAGTATCCAAGAAACAACTATGTGATAAACCACAGTAAAAAATGTGAATGACATAGAGTACTTTTCTTTCTTTAAATTATTAATAGCACTTAATCACTTTACATTGCAATGATCTATTTACTTATGTCTCTCCCACTGAACTGAATTCCTGCAGAGACCTATTTATCGCTCCTTCCTTACCTAGGACTGTGCCTGATCACTTATCAAATGTTTGAATTGAGCAATTTTACAACCAGCATTTCTAGTATTATCATTGCATATCTCTCACTGGTGCACCTCAATAGCATCAGCGGCGCTATCTATTGGGTAAAAATAAATAAATAAAAATATTAATGCAATGGCAAATCATAGTATTTATTATGTAACATTCAAAAATATTGATTTGGTTTTCAAAGTACTAGCTAAATCCCCCCCCCCTTTAAAAAAATCTACTTTGCACGTATTCTTAGAATTTCTTTCTTAGAATCTACTCTTTAATCAAGATACATGTAACCTGAGTATCAATAAAAGATTCTAAAGCACCCACACTTCTTCTCCTCAAGATAGAAAGAATATGTTACCATTAGTAGTAATATGGGAAATTGAACAACTAAATACTCTTAAAAGAAAAATGCACACACGTACACACACACACACACACACACACACACGAGTGCTCAGGTTGGGAAGAAGAGCTGCTGAATCAGCAGATGCAGGAGATAAACAAATCAAAAGTTAGTAGGTATTGGGGGATGGCTGATAAAGTCTTCTGAAAAGTGGCAGTTGGTAATGTTACTTCTGAAAAGTGGACACTCACGTTAAACTACTCATTTGTGCCTTCATTCAACAAATTTCTTGAGCACCTATTTTGTGTCAGGCACTGTTTCTAGGAGGCAGAGGTACAACTGTGCAAACAAAGCACACCAGCCCCTGCTCTGATGTGGCTCCAAGGTTGGAGAAAGGCACTTACTTTTGTGGCACGCATGCATACTCAAAACCATAATGTGATTTTAGATGTCTAGGATTCCTTATGTGTTAAATGTCAGCCTTTCCACAAGAAGATAGCATACCATGACAGGTGTGTACTTGGCAATCACCTTCACTCAGGAGATATGGAGCACTTTGCTCAGAAGATGTGCACACTATAATTAAAGCCAGAAGAGAAAGAGAAAAAAAAAAAACAGGAATTCACTGACAACGAGGTTGAAATAAAAACTCTATAAAAATCAAAGGGAGTGTTGGAAGTTGATTTTTATAGTTTTAATAAAAAAGGTCAAGAAAAGCTTTTCTTGCATTCGCCATAAAGTTTAATAGTGGAAACATGCCCCAGTTTGGTAGTAATGAAAATAATAATAACTTGTTTTGTCTTTTTATTTTTATTATGCAACTATTTGACACATAAAAAGTAACACGTGGCACATTTGTAAGTTGTGAACTATAATATAAAATAAACACGCGTGCACTCACTACCTAGTTTAAGGGCTGCGCTCATTTCCTAGGGCTGCTGTAACTAAGTACCACAAGCTGGGTGTATTAAACAACAGACATTTATTTTTCTTTTTACAGTCTGGAGGCTATAAGTTCAAAAACGAGATATTGGTAGGGCTGCTTCCTTCTAAGGTCTATGAGGGAGAATCTCTTCCGTATATTTTGCCCTGTTTCCAGGGATTTGCTAGCAACTTTGAGCATTTCTTAGCTTGTAGTTGCATAATATCAATCTCCACCTTCATCTTCTCATATCATTCTCCTGTGCCCGTCCTCCCATGACCATCTTCTTATAAAGGCCCCAGTCATATTGGCTTACATTACATCTACAACAACCTTATTTCTGAGTAAGGTCATATTCAGAAGTTCTGGAAGTTAGAACTTCGACATATCTTTTAGGGTGGGGGGAGCAATAAAACCATAACATGAGCTATACTAGAACCTTACTAATATTATTACATCTGTCTGTATGTTTCTGTCTCCATTCCAGTCCCAGAGGTAATAGAGATAACCACTATCTTAAATTGTATTTGTCACCATTCTCTTGCATGTTATTGTTCTATCACATAAATATGTAGATGAACCAATATATTATTTAATTTTTCTTGTTTGTAACTTAACCATCTGGAACTTGCTTTTTCCATACAAGACTTGTAAGGTTCATGTATATTGTTATATGCAGTAGTAATTAATCATTTACAAAGTTCTGCAATACCTCACTGTTTGGACATCCAAACATTTTAAATATTATTGTGTCAATAACTATTGGTATTATTCCCAGTTTTTTCTTCTTAGGAAATATGCTACTATGAATGGTCTCATACTCATCGCCATGTGTTGGAGTTTCTCTAGGACATATATGTAGAGTGAAATTATTGCATCATAGGGTATGAGAGCTTCACTTTTACAAGATAATGCTAAAATCAATTCACACTCCTTCAAACTGAATATAAGAATTCCCCTTTAGCCACACTCATGATAATGCTTGGAATTGTTTAACTTTTTAATTATTATCAACCAGATGGTTGTAAAATGTATCACATTGTGGATCTAAATTATATTTCTCTTTCCATTCATTTTTCCTCTTCTATGAAATATCTATTCATCTTTTTTTTCCTTCATTGATTTTAGAGAGAGAAGGGAGAGAGAGAGAGACAAACATGATGACCGAATGAATGAATGAACAAACGAATGAATGAATGAAGGCATATCACATATGTGGAAACCCAAGCACAAAGAAATGAAGCACACATGACCAAAGCAAGTTGGTTCCACCACAAAACCCATACACTTACCAACTTTTCGCATTGCCTCTGGGTTTAATAAATCACCAAGTGCTGTCCTTTACACACAGCGTTTGTTGTTGCTAATCTTACCACCAGAAAAAACAGATGCCTTTATTGTTTTCCTTTTAGTGCGAGAAGTTTTGCAACAATCCATCTATGTTCTTTCACAATATTCAAGGCTAACAGTGGCACTCTTTAGCACTAATGTTTTTGTTAACTCTTCACGACAGGAGCAGAATAGAAAGTCTGCGAAGCAGAAAGAAGGGGAAGGTTGGAAAGTAGCAGCATAGAGTGACAATATTCATTGATTTTTCTGCCCTGTGCCGGCACTGTGACAGGCTCTTTTAGTGCGCACATGAGCACCACCAGGTGGTTAGTTGTATCCTCATTATACAGAGGAGAGATGAGGACAGGCCCAAAGGGCATAAATGATTTGCCCAAATTCACAAAGCTATGCCGAAAGTGAGATACAGTACAACACAAACCTGGACTCAGCTCTGTCTGTTCCATTCTGGGGACAAGACCCTCTTAAACCTCCTGCCTGTTTCCACATCTACCCTTCAGATGGGCCCCTGCTCCTGGCCACTCTTTCCAGAGCCTGGGTGCTGCCAGTATTTGTTACTTATTCTACAAATTTGTTGGACACTTAAAGTGAAGAAAGTATTGTGTTAGGGACATTTAAATGCAGATATCATGTCACTCCAGTTTCTGCCCTCAAAGAACTTAAAATCTAGACTGGCATGCTAGTTCTTACTATAAACCTCTTTTTGTAAATATTCAATATAAATATCTAGGATTCAACTTAAAAACAAATTTAATCTACCCAGTAAACTACTACTTTAAATGGCCCTGAGTAGGTGGGACACAAGACATAGTGTTTGACAAGAGT